ATAGAAAGATTCATACACATAAATGTGTAGCTCCAAAGATAGATCATACATAGATATTCAATAAAATAAACAAAGTTTGCATTGATTCAGTATATCAACAATGTACAGTTGGGGACTTTTCCAACTGCTACACCCAGCATCATCAATCTGCCCTCCCCAAGAGGTGTGAACCCAGAGAGTATCGATTAGTGAATTCGAGGCATCCAAAACAAAAATTATGCTTAGAATATATTACTGTACACCAGGGTGGTATTCCCGCCTTGTGCTACAGATCTGAGCAATATATATTCATATATTTTCTGTACAACTCTCCTATAATCTAGGGGACCGGCTGAAGTCTCAATATGGATGCATTTGATTCTATTTACTGCCTCCATTGGTTATATACAGCACCTTCTTAATCAATGTAAACTTGTTAAACGATTCCACTGTATATCTATCTAACTTATTCTGACTACAACACCATTAAAACGGTATATAACTAATAACTAGTTTGTTTGTTAACGCCCCGCTGCACCTCGCTCGCCTTCAGATGTGAAAGTGGACAACCACTTCTTTATTCTGTACGATGACTCGTCAGTAACCAGGGGATGTAGCTCAGATGGTAGAGCGCTCGCTTAGCATGTGAGAGGTACGGGGATCGATACCCCGCATCTCCAAATAACATTTTCTCAGCAGTTGATGGTTGGTGACCAATTGTGGAACTGGTCTGAAAAATAATGATAATTTCAGTAGAGATGAAAGTAATTACTCCTAACACTCTGTAGTCAAACGTTCCCACTAATATAACTTGCCATAAATGGATCACCTGAAAATTTAGACATCTAACTTATTTAATTCACCTCAGGAACTGTAACGCTAACTTAATCTAACCTCACCTAACGATCTTTGTTTAAATTAGGTTATACACCATTATGTCACACAATGAGTTCTATGACACATCGGCTGCCCGACACTGATCATCCGGCTGCCTGACAGATCATCCGGCTGCCTGACACACTTCCATTCTGAGTCGGATCTGTGTGAGAGAAAGAGAGAATAAAATTATATAGTTTCCATTTTTCCATTTTCTTTTAGACTACTGTATCATCAAAGAGAAGGGGCGAGGAGAACCTGAAATAATTCTGGAATATGTTCACTCACATCGCGTCGTCTTCACCTGTGATCAAACAGTTAACCTCCTGGCCGGTGGGTCATTTAGCATCTGTTTTGCAAATCATCTTTCAATCAGCAATAAAAACACCATTGAAATCAATAAAAATAATAATCAGAAACATAACTATCAAAACGGATCACCTGATGAATCTCCCCCCATCAGAACAGGTATCATAAATAGGGGTTAAATGTTTGAATATAATACAAAATATTACTTGGAGATGCGGGGTATCGATCCCCGTACCTCTCACATGCTAAGCGAGCGCTCTACCATCTGAGCTACATCCCCTGAAGGACATTTCGAGGTAAATATGTTACTAAATACACCTTTGACAATATCTTACTCGTGCCATCGAAGAACACAGTCTACTAACAGAAAACTTTCAGAGCTACAGTATATTAGTGTGAGAAAACGAAGGTTGTTTTTAGGGCAGCCTTGTGTATTTTGGTGCAGGGGGGACGGTAATGTTTCTATAGTACCTTCATCTAAACAGAGAGATATTGACGATTAAAGTTGACATACCAGTTCTCATTAGTTCAACTTGTTCAATAACGATATAAATAGACAAAAGGTTACCAGCATAGAGTAGTGTGCGTTATTATCAGTCTCTTTAAGAAAAAAACTATAAAATAATACTTATAACACCTGAACAATCTCCCCCGAGCAGTACCTGGAGTGTGGATACTTCTGGTGACCCGAAAACTTGTGTGTGATTTTTACCTCTCGAACATTGACAGTTTGGAGGAATTAGATCTTTCCTACGAGGTGTTGCTGCCCTGTTACCTGTGGAGCTGGCCAGCGTAGTGACCCTGACGCTAAGCCACTTACCCAATGAAATGTCCATGCAAACTGTAAATAACTGAATAACACTGCAACTTAACCGAACCGAAGAACACAAACCTAACCTAATCTAACTTTACCTAGCGATTTTTCTTTGACGACGATGGGTTAATCCTTTTGGAGACGATGATTTAACTCTTTGAGGACGATGACTTAACTCTTTGAGGACGATGATTTAACTCTTTGAGGACGATGATTTAACTCTTTGAGGACGATGATTTAACTCTTTGAGGACGATGATTTAACCCTTTGAGGACGATGATTTAACTCTTTGAGGACGATGATTTAACTCTTTGAGGACGATGATTTAACCCTTTGATGACGATGATTTAACCCTTTTAATTTAACCCTTTGAGGACGATGATTTAACCCTTTGAGGACGATGATTTAACCCTTTGATGACGATGATTTAACTCTTTGAGGACGATGATTTAACTCTTTGAGGACGATGATTTAACCCTTTGAGGACGATGATTTAACCCTTTGATGACGATGATTTAACTCTTTGAGGACGATGATTTAACTCTTTGAGGACGATGATTTAACCCTTTGAGGACGATGATTTAACTCTTTGAGGACGATGATTTAATTCTTTGAGGACGATGATTTAACCCTTTGAGGACGATGATTTAACTCATTGAGGACGATGATTTAACTCTTTGAGGACGATGATTTAACCCTTTGAGGACGATGATTTAACTCTTTGAGGACGATGATTTAACCCTTTGAGGACGATGATTTAACTCTTTGAGAACGATGATTTAACCCTTTGAGGACGATGATTTAATTCTTTGAGGACGATGATTTAACCCTTTGAGGACGATGATTTAACTCTTTGAGGACGATGATTTAACTCTTTGAGGACGATGATTTAACCCTTTGAGGACGATGATTTAACTCTTTGAGGACGATGATTTAACCCTTTGAGGACGATGATTTAACCCTTCAGTTCAATTAAATTCGTATAACTATGGACACAGCGCCCCCTGCACCAAAATACACGAGGCTGGCTTAAACAACCCTCATTTTCTCTTATAACCATCATAGCTCTGAAGGTTTTCTGTAAATAGACGTTGTTCCTTGATGACTTGGCTAAGAATACTTTCTCAGGCGAGTCAATAAGGTGTAGTAAGTAACCTGTTTACCACATATTACACGGGGGTGTAGCTCAAATGGTAGAGCGCTCGCTTAGCATGTGAGAGGTACGGGGATCGATACCCCGCATCTCCAGCAATTTTTATAGATTTGATAATAAAATATTATATATATGTACTGAGCTACCCATCTACCTAATTTTTCACCTACCCGTCTATCTGCCAGCTACATCACATAGTTACCACACACATGCCAGTCATTTAATCTCCCCAATATTTACGACACTTTGTTCAGTCTTAATGAATGTTTGTTATCACAGCTGATGACGTCAACCTGCTGTGTTGAGAGAGTATATGTCATATACTCTATGATATGTTTTGTTGACGCCAGAGAGAGAGAGAGAGAGAGAGAGAGAGAGAGAGAGAGAGAGAGAGAGAGAGAGGGAGAGAGAGAGAGGGGAGGGAAGAGGGAGGAGAGGGGAGAGGAGACAGGAAAAGAGAGAGAGGAGAGAGAGAGAGAGAGAGAGAGAGAGAGAGAGAGAGAGAGAGAGAGAGAGGCGTAGGAGAATGGAGGGAAGTAGGGGGGGGGTGTGGCAGTGTGGCACGTCTAGTGTGGCACATGGGTCTGGTGACCCATGTGCCAGACATACTCTCAGACACCCTTGCACATATACACGTAATACACCCATCTATGTCTCCATTATACATACATACGTACCTGTGTGAATATAAACTAACACACACACACGCACACACACACACTACAAACAAAATAGTCCAGACACGATTTATAAATACCCACGCCACGCTAAGGTTTCCGCCACACTAAGAGACACACGTGGGACATATTTACCAGGTATTTGTAAACAACTAATATGGCCGCCTGCAGGATATAGATGAGAATAATTACTCTTAGTAGTACCTTATTTATTTACCTACTTGGGTCTTCCCTTTAACCCCCTTCCCTTTCCTTTACCTCCCCTTTAACCCTTTAACCCCTTTCTTTTAACCCATTAACCCCTTCCCTTTACCCTTTAAACACTTCTCTTTACCCTTTAACCTTCCGTTATCCTTTTTAACCCCTTCCCTTTACCCTTTAACACCTTCCATACCTTTCTTTTCCCCTTTAACCTTCCCTTTACCCTTTAACCCCTTCCACTTACCGCTTTCTTTCCCCTTTTAACACCATCCCTTTACTCCATTAACCCTTCTCTTTACCCATTTGACCCCTTAACCCCTTCAACCCCCTTCCTTTACCCCTTTTTAACACTTTCCCTTGACCTCACTAACCTCTTCCCTTTACCCCTTAGCCACTATATCATGGATTACCTACATTAAGAAGAACAATAAAAGGGATTTGGTATTCAGTATTTCCCAACCTTTAGTACACAACAAACATGACTGCTTCTGACATACCCATCCCCCGCCCCCTCTCTCTCTCTTGCAGTTCTAATATTACCTTTAAACCTCTCTTCTACCCCTTAAACCCCCTTGAACTACTTCCCAGTCACCCCTTAGAGATAGATACCCTTAGAGATAGATACCTCCTTGAGATAGATACCTCCTAGAGATAGATACCCCCTAGAGATACCCCTTGGAGACAGATACCCCTTGGAGACAGATACCCCTTGGAGACAGACACCCCTTGGAGACATTATTGAGGGCAGGGTTAAGGACTGTAAAGGGTTAATATACACGTGGTAGTGGTGTAGTGGTGGCAGGTGGTGGTAGTGGTGGTAGACTGTGGTAGTGGTGGCAGGTGGTGGTAGTGGTGGTAGACGGTGGTAGTGGTGGCAGGTGGTGGTCGTGGTGGTAGACAGGTGGTAGTGGTGGTGGTCGTGGTGGTAGACGGTGGTAGTGGTGGCAGGTGGTGGTAGTGGTGGCAGGTGGTGGCAGGTGGTGGAGGCAGTGGTGGTAGATACTGCTGGAGATGACCATGTTCTGACGATGTCTGGGTCACGTGCGTAAATAATAATATATAATAATAATAATAATATATAATAATAATAATAATATATAATAATAATAATAATAATAATATAATAATAATATATATAATAATAATAATAATAATAATAATAATAATAATAATTAACGGTTTATTGAAAAAGTCATCAGTCGAAGGCTGAAAATATACATTAGACAAAAATGACTTATTACATACAAAGACATGGGGTGGGTGGGTCGTTTAACAAAAGCTTTCATTACTAAGGAACAATGATTGAACATACAAATTATAATAGTTTACAGCTGATGGTGTGTGTTGAGAGAGAGATGGGAGATGCATAGATAGATAGTGGTGGTGGTGGAGGTGAGTGAGAGGTGAGTGGATGGATAAGTGAGTGAGTGAGAGTGAGTGGATGGATAAGTGAGTGAGTGAGAACGAATGAGTGGGTGAGTGAGTGGATGAGTGGGTGGATGAGTGAGTGAGTGGGTGAGGTTACCCGCCGCATCTCTCGACCTGTGCACTGTACGGGTCCACCTGTCCGCCCGTCTCACCTGTGTCTTCATAAACAACTTAATTAATATCATGTCTCTCCCTCACGTTGTTGTTGTTGTTGTTGTTGTTGTTGTTGTTGGTAGATGATGGTCGTGGTTGATGGTGGTGGTGGTAGATGATGGTGGTGGTAGATGATGGTGGTGGTAGATGATGGTGGTGGTAGATGATGGTGGTGGTTGATGGTGGTGGTGGTTGATGGTGGTGGTAGATGATGGTGGTGGTAGATGATGGTGGTGGTAGATGATGGTGGTGGTTGATGGTGGTGGTAGATGATGGTGGTGGTTGATGGTGGTGGTAGATGATGGTGGTGGTAGATGATGGTGGTGGTAGATGATGGTGGTGGTAGATGATGGTGGTGGTAGATGATGGTGGTGGTAGATGATGGTGGTGGTGATGGTGGTGGTAGATGATGGTGGTGGTAGATGGTGGTAGGTAGATGATGGTAGGTGGTTGATGGTGGTGGTAGATGATGGTGGTGGTAGATGATGGTGGTGGTTGATGGTGGTGGTAGATGATGATGGTGGTGGTAGATGATGGTGGTGGTAGATGATGGTGGTGGTTGATGGTGGTGGTAGATGATGGTGGTGGTAGATGATGGTGGTGGTAGATGATGGTGGTGGTAGATGATGGTGGTGGTAGATGATGGTGTGGTAGATGATGGTGGTGGTAGATGATGGTGGTGGTAGATGATGGTGAGGTGGTAGATGATGGTGGTGATGGTGGTGGTAGATGATGGTAGGTGGTAGATGATGGTGGTGGTAGATGATGGTGGTGGTAGATGATGGTGGTGGTAGATGATGGTGGTGGTAGATGATGGTGGTGGTAGATGATGGTGGTGGTTGATGGTGGTGGTAGATGATGGTCGTGGTAGATGATGGTCGTGGTAGATGATGGTGGTGGTAGATGATGGTGGTGGTAGATGATGGTGGTGGTAGATGATGGTGGTGAGGTAGATGATGGTGGTGGTAGATGGTGGTGGTAGATGATGGTGGTGGTAGATGATGGTGGTGGTAGATGATGGTGGTGGTAGATGATGGTGTGGTGGTAGATGATGGTGGTGGTAGATGATGGTGGTGGTAGATGATGGTGGTGGTAGATGATGGTGGTGGTGATGATGGTGGTGGTAGATGATGGTGGTGGTAGATGATGGTGGTGGTAGATGATGGTGGTGGTGGTGATGGTGGTGGTAGATGATGGTGGTGGTTGATGGTGGGTAGTGGGATGGTGGTGGTGGTAGATGATGGTGGTGGTAGATGATGGTGGTGGTTGATGGTGAGGTGGTAGATGATGGTCGTGGTAGATGATGGTGGTGGTAGATGATGATGGTGGTGGTAGATGATGGTGGTGGTAGATGATGGTGGTGGTAGATGATGGTGGTGGTAGATGATGGTGGTGGTAGATGATGGTGGTGGTAGATGATGGTGGTGGTAGATGATGATGATGGTAGATGATGGTGGTAGATGATGGTGGTGGTAGAGATGATGGTGGTGGTAGATGATGGTGGTAGATGATGGTGGTGGTAGATGATGGTGGTGGTAGATGATGATGATGGTAGATGATGGTGGTAGATGATGGTGGTGGTGGTAGATGATGATGGTGGTAGATGGTGGTGGTGGTAGATGATGATGGTGGTAGATGATGGTGGTGGTAGATAGTGATGGTGGTAGATGATGGTGGTGGTAGATGGTGATGGTGGTAGTTTGGGCACCACAGGAGAAGGTTATAGTGTGTCCGTGGTGGAAGGAAACAGAGAGAGAGAACAGTGTGAGTTCATTCCCCACTACCGTTATCAGCTGTGTCTACCTCCTCCTATCACCCGTTATCATATCTCTTATCTTTCCTTCATCCTCAACACGACCCAGTTTTTTAACAATGCATTAAAAACATATTAACTTTTTTTGTGTTTACCGACTGCCTGATGTCCGTCACGTGACCGCCTGTGTGGTTATGAGTCTCTCTCTTGGTGGGTGAAGGGGTTACGTTTATCATCCACCAATCAACAAGACAAGTTGAGCAACACTCGGCTCCCGTCCTAAAGGTCACTGGTTCGCTCCCACCTCGGCTCCCTCGGTCTTCCTTGATGTAAATAGGGAGTTGATTTTACAGTTGAAGGGAGTGAGGATCGTGTGCTGTGCTGGATAACTGTCTCTCGTCCACTGATCAACAAGACAAGTTAGACAATACTCGGCTCCCGTCCTATAGGTCATTGGTTCGTTCCCATTCCTCCCAGATGTAATGAGAAGCTAATTTTACAGTTGAAGGAAGAAAGAGTCATGTGCAGTGCTAACTAAACTCTCTCTCCTGTGTACTGTATAGTTAACTATTGCGAGGACTGTATCTACAAGGGTCGCCAGGCCTCTGGTGCCACTAATACTGTCATCTGTGACAAGTGGTCAGTGAGGCTGAGAAACCTTCAATGTTCAAATAATTTTCAAGATGTACTGTAGGTGAAACAGCCAGGTGGTCTTCGAGGAAGAGTTTACCAAGCTCCACACACACACACACACACACACACACACACACACACACACACACCTCCAGGACCGAAGCAACTTAAGGCATCATAACAATAGGTGATGCCCCGGACCAGCACTGACACACCTTGGTACTGTGACCACTGTCCATGATGCTGCAGGCTCTGAAGGGTGGCGCTACAGTAGCTGCTGTATCTTTATGTAACTCACTGTAACACTGTAGGACCCGTGTTGTAATAGTTAGTATCCTCGCCTCACAAACACGTGGCTAAGGGTTCGATCTCCAGGTAGAGTGAAACTATGAATATAAATATATATTTTTTTACGCCCTTTGCCTCCGGATGGTGTTCTGAGGAAATGGTTAGCCAGTGCAGTCGGCGAGTTGTCCGGTCTTCTTGGATTATTCCTTAACACTGGGACATACAGGTCGTTAACTCAGGGTATGGTCGTCGTTAACTCAGGGTGTGGTCGTAATTAACTCAGGGTGTGGTCGTAATTAACTCAGGGTGTGGTCGTTGTGTGGGCGACAGCTTCTACACCTTAAAAAGATTCACATAAGTAAGTTGTAACCATTTATTACACCAACCACGACGACCTGCGCCCCGTCACGACCTGCTCCCGGCCACGAACTGCTCCCGGCCACGACCTGCTCCCGGCCATGACCTGCTCTCGGCCACGACCTGCTCTCGGCCATAACCTGCTCCAGGCCACGACCTGCTCACACGCCACGACCTGCTCACACGCCACGACCTGCTCACACGCCACGACCTGCTCACACGCCACGATCCAGCCACGAGTGAACCACCACAACAACAACAGCAACAACGACCACAGCTTGGCACCTGCACCAGAAACAAAGAGGAAGAGGAGGCGGAGGAGGAAGAGGGAGGAGGAGGAGGAGGAAGAGGAGGCGGAGGAGGAGGAGGAAGAGGGAGGAGGAGGAGGAGGATGTGAGCAAAACACACAACACACACAGGAGCCAAATATCAACATGGCCCTGTTAAGACTCCCCGACACACTCTGAGACCAAGCAACACCTGCAGCAGTGTTATAAATACTACTGACGGCGTGGTGGTGGTGGTGGTGGTAGAAGGTCCTAATGAGGGTAGTAATCGTGGTAGAAGGTCCTAATGAGGGTAGTAATCGTGGTAGAAGGTCCTAATGAGGGTAGTAATCGTGGTAGAAGGTCCTAATGAGGGTAGTAATCGTGGTAGAAGGTTCTAATGAGGGTAGTAATTGTGGTAGAAGGTCCTAATGAGGGTAGTAATTGTGGTAGAAGGTCCTAATGAGGGTAGTAATCGTGGTAGAAGGTCCTAATGAGGGTAGTAATCGTGGTAGGTCTAATGGGGAGATTAGTGGTAGAAGGTCCTAATGAGGGTAGGAATTGTGGTAGAAGGTCCTAATGAGGGTAGTAATCGTGGTAGAAGGTCCTAATGAGGGTAGTAATCGTGGTAGAAGGTCCTAATGAGGGTAGGAATTGTGGTAGGTCCTAATGAGGGTAGTAATCGTGGTAGGTCCTAATGAGGGTAGTAATTGTGGTAGAAGGTCCTAATGATGGTAGTAGAAGTGGTAGAAGGTTCTAATGAGGATAGTAGTAGTGGTAGAAGGTCCTAATGAGGGTAGTAGTAGTGGTAGAAGGTTCTAATGAGGGTAGTAGTAGTGGTAGAAGGTCTTAGTGATAATGGTAGTTGGTCCTGATGATGGTGGTAGTGATGGTGGTAGGTCCTGATGCCAATAACCACCACACACAAAGGTTCCTCCTGACAATGACTGAGTAGATTCACGGGAAATATTTGTACGATATTGAGATGCGCACACACGCGCACACGCACACACACACACACACACACACACACACACACACACGGATATTAAGGATAACGTCACTAGGTCAGGAAAATTCCTTAAGTTAACCTACATCGTATTTTTAGTCTTTAAGTAGACTGCAGAAGCTAATGAGATGTGCCAACAATTGTGTGTGAATCTCTCTCTCTAACACACAACTAATATTTTCTTCTTTAATTTTTGGATGTTCAAGGATCAGGGTTCATGGTTTGGGATTCAGATTCAAGGCTCAGGGTTCATGGTTCGGGGTTCAGGTTCAGGGTTCGGGCTTCAGGTGTTCGGGGTTCAGTTTTAGGGTTCTGGGTTCAGGTGTTCAGGGTTCAGTTTTAGGGTTCTGGGTTCAGGTGTTCGGGGTTTAGTTTCAGTGTTCGGGCTTCAGTTTCGGAGTTCAGGTTCAGGGTTCATGATTCGGGGTTCATGGCACAGGGTTCGGGATTCGTGGTTCAGGGTTCATGGCTCGAGGTTCAGAGTTCATGGTTCGGGGTTCAGGGTACATAGGTTTCAAGGGTTCGGGGTTCATGGCACGGGGTTCGCTTCCTCTCTGGTGAACTTAGGAACGAAATTTAATACTGACCGACCGACACCAACTTCCCTGACCTATATATTACTCAGTGAGTCAGTGCGGGGCGGACATACTGTTTATTTTTATTGTGTGTGTGTGTGTGTGTGTGTGTGTGTGTGTGTGTGTGTGTGTGTGTGTGTGTGTGTGTGAAAATATCAAAATAAAAACACCTTAGTAACGGCCCAAAAAACAACACTTATCAACGCACTACTATATTCTGCTCACCTGGAGGCTGGTGCTGGAGGCGGGAGTAATTAGCAGAGTCCCGTGTGATAATGGACAGGTAACTACTGTGAGAACCTGTCCATCCTAGCACCAATGGCGCCGCCACCACTGGTACCATTGTCAAGGTGACGGGCCTCTGTAATAATAATAATAATAATAATAATAATAATAATAATAATAATAATAATAATAATAATAATAATAATAAAATAATAATGATAATAATAATAATAATAATAATAATAATAAATAATAATAATAATAATAATAATAATAACTACAATAACAACAATAATAATAATAAAATAATTATAATAATAATGACAATAACAATAACAGCAACAAAAATAATAATGATAACTGCAACAATAATAATAATAATAACATTAGCAATAAAAATTCTTCCATACGTTACACAACACACCACAGACGCACTCTCAGTGGTAAAGTGCGTAGAAAGTGTGTGTGTGTGTAATGTAACCCCTGGCCTCACTAGTTACACAAGCTATAGCCAACGCACTCTGAATGGTGTGGTGGTGCGAACAGTACATTCAAGGTTAGTGTGACGCACCTCAACACACACACACTTATATAACTACGACAAAAACTACGACAAAAACTACGACATGCATCCTCAATTAAATTCTTGTAAGTCAGATTATCCTACGTAAATGTTGGGTTCTAAAATGTTTCGCAGTTAGATTTTTCCATTAACTTAAAACACCCACAGCTATGACTCACTCACTCACTCACTCACACACACAATGACTCACTCACTCACTCACTCACTGATCACAACAAACACTCACTCATTTATCCGACGTTCCACAGAAAACATTACTTTACGTAGCTTTTAGGAACCGAACGATGAATTACAGTTTAGTTACGTCTGGAGGGAGGAGGAGCCGATTTATTCCTTATGTAAGTAATCTTTGTGTTATAGTGATGATGGTGGTGATGGTGGTAGTGATGGTGGTAGTGATGATGGTGATAGTGATGTTGATGATGACAATGATTATGATGGTGATGATAAGTGACGCTAATAAGTGATAGTGATGATGATAGTGAAAAAACGATGATGGTGGTGGTGATGATGGTGATGATTAGAGTTTTTCATATTAATTCTGAGTTAATACAACGCTTCACCATCAATCAACATCAGACAGTAAACGACAAGAAGCATTGTTCTCTCACCACTTATAAACACAGATGAACCCATAAGTAGATGCTAAGTTATTCTCAAGTGTCAAGGCAATTTTGGTAGCAACTGAGAGAGAGAGAGAGAGAGAGTTTGCTTCTCCGGTTGCACATCTTCACAATAAACATTACATTTCTGTTTAACCTTTAGCATTCCAAAACCGTATCTAATTCACCTCTATGTACAGTAGAATATCCTTTACACCATAACACACAACGTAATACCACAAATACACCAGCCAGCATGACGAACAACCAATCAGATTTGAAATTATGAATATAGATGAGTTCTCAGAGGTTCTTGGCATCCTAACTATCCTGGCGCCCGGGGTCTTGTTTTGGTGTGACGTCACGTTGTTTACATGCTCGGCGGAGGGGAGGTGCGTCTGAGATTCTAGCCATCTTGTACTGCGAAGTTGTTATATTGGAACCAGCCTAAGATCTCTTGGTGTAAATATAAGGTCGTTGAACCACCTGAAGAATTTCCACCCTAAGTTATTTCACTTAAAGATTAACCTGCACCTAAACACTATTTGGGGGGGATGAGGTTAAGTTAGATTTGGTTAGGTTAAATTAGGTCAGATTAGATTAGGTCAGACTAAAGTAGGTTATGTTAGCATAGGTTAGGTTATATAAGGCTAAGTTAAATTAGGTCAGACTACAGTAGAGTAGGTGAGACCAGGCTTAGGTTTGGTAAGCTCCTCTCCTTCACACGGTAATCGACTGTGGTGTAGTAGTGGTGGAACACGTGGTCGGGGGTGGCGGAGAGGGAAGGACCACTGGGGGTTAATTTAGCCCTGGAGGCCGCTCCTCTACACCTGCGCCAAGACCAAACACAGGTGTGCCACTGTAACACTTTAAGGACGATGGTTTAACCAGGGTTTAACTTATTGTGGTTTACACACACACACACACGTCAATGCTTTAGGTCAGTCACCTCCAACAGTTCAGATTCTTAACAAACTCGTAAATAAATAAATATTTCCCTCGACCCTGCAGGCTGCCTCAGAACCAGTCTATTTATACAGTACAGTCTTAGTGCACTGTCTCCGCCATCTTGAGAGACTCTACATCACATGCCCACAAGAGCCACTTGTTACCTGGTGTAGGTGTTGAGCTGATGCTGTTGCCGAGGCGGTGTGTGAGAGGTAGACAGGTGGGGGTTGAGACAGAGACAGACAGACAGACAGAGACAGACAGAGACAGACAGAGACAGACAGAGACAGACAGATATATAGATAGAAAAATATTTAAAGGAAATAATTATAAAGAGAGAAGAGAGAGAGAGAGAGAGAGAGAGAGAGAGAGAGAGAACATCACCACCAACACATTACAGATTACCCACGAGGGGGCTAGTTTATTGGGCACCCCCTTACATCCTGTGCAAGGTGGAAGTCCAAGAAATGAACGGGGCCGCAGATGATGACCTTGTGAGACGCCTGACGAATGATAATAACAAGAGAGAGAATAAGAGATAAAAAATCAGACATGGAGAAGAGATAGATAGAGAGAGAGACAGACAGATAGACGCACTTCCACTATACAAGAATAGCGCAGTTAAGGAGGGAGGGGGTGAGAGGGAGGGACCTAGCGTATGACGTCAAGAGTCAATTGGGGCCGGAGGGGAAGAATCAGGCGAGTGATGGAACCTCATCACTAATATCCCTACATGACAGGCGCCGACCCCCCTCCCCTACCGTCCTTGGGTGTCTCATGACGGTGTAGGACATCCCTCTCTCTCTCTCTCTATCAGCCATCCCTCCCGGACCCTCCTACAGGCAGGCAGTGTCGCTAAGGGGATGGATGGAGCTCAGAGGATGGGACAAAGGGGTCTCTCTCTCTCTCTCTCTCTCTCTCTCTCATGTGGTTCCTCCTGATGGGGTCGTTTCCCTGCCTTACGGAAACTGATCATGGGGAAGAATGGGGGAATTGATCATGGGGGAGGAGGGAGGGGGTTTTCCTTGCCTATGATGAGGACATGGTGATATAGGAGGGGGGGGGGAGGGTTGTCTATGGGATGGTGGATGGGGATGTTCACTCACGCGGGAGGTCACGTGAGTCTGATGGTCAGTGTATTTGAGTACACATCACGTAGAGATCAGATCACCCTACCACCCCCTCCTCCCTTCCCCCACCCACCCTGTCCCTCACCAGTGTGTTTCACCTCTTGATCAAACATCCTAATGCTGCCTGGGTGGTCAGATTAGGTTAGGTTAGGTTATGTTATGATAGGTTAATTTAGGTTAGGTTAGATTAATTTGGGTTAGGTTAAGTTAGGTTAGGTTTTTATTATTATTATTATTATTATTATTATTATTATTATTATTATTATTATTATTATTATTATTATTAATCTTTCTAGGTCACTGCTAAGAATCCATCAGCTTTTGGCAGGCAGCTTAGTCAAGTCAAGCTTTGTTCCGCCATCAACAAGTGTATCAGCCCCGTGTATAGTACAGGAACTAGTGTACTAGAAAGAGTATACAAGGAATAATGAGCAAAAATCTCATTCTAGGCAGAGAACTGAACCAGGGATTCTTGAGTTATGAATCAAGAGCTCTACCACTCTGCCACGGACCTGCGGACCACCCTATTATTATACAGTGCAAACCAGGGAATGCTCTGCCTTCTTCTGTGTTTCCATTCTCTTACAATCTGTCTCACTTTAAAAAGCTGGTTTTCCGGCATCTTCGTGGTGTAGATTAACACAGTATAACCTTTTTTCTATATTTACAATTTCTTTCCGTTCTTTTTTTTTTTCGCCCCTCAGGCTCCGTTGAGGGTCGTTTGACCTGTGCCCGGGTGGGCTAATTCCCGTAAAAAGCTATTTCCACATGAGTAAATACCTTAGCCTGACCTAACCTAGCCTAGCCTAACCTAACCTAACCTAATCTAACCTAACCTAGCTTTTTTCATATAAGTAAATATCTTAAACTAACCTAAACTAACTTAACCAAACAGCTTAACCAACACAATTTCTCAACCACACGAGGAACAGCAATAATAAAAATTGATCCGTGCTCCAAAAATTCGTCTCGGTGAAGAGAAACGAGAACGTCGGGACCTTGAAGTGATCCACCGATGACTGAAGAAAAAATAAACACGAATAAAACTCTCTCCAAAAAATTACATTACGCTTGAATGTTAGTCTGTAATTTCAGCGGTGTTATCATATGGTGGTGGTAATGGTGGTGGTGATACGCCACATCAAGTTGTTCAAAGAATTTCTCAAGGTGACTCCCACAGGATTTAGTGAGTGTGTGTGTGTGTGTGTGTGTGTGTGTGTGTGTGTGGACGAAACTTGACACATTTTTAACTTCTTCCTGTCAATGATGTTCTTCTTTCGTGTATGACGGAGTCTTGCTTTCTCTAGCTATCTGTCTTTATCTCTCACCCAGTTCACGTTTTCTTCAAAATCTCTCTTTCTCTATCTCTCGCACTCTCATATGGCCACAGATAGTCTCACATGGCCACAGATAGTTGCACATGGCCACAGATAGTCGCATATGGCCTTAGTTAGTCATATATGACCTTAGGTAATCTCACATGGCCTTAGGTAGTCTCACAGGGCCACATAGCTTTATATGGACACATATAGTTTCACATGGCCAAAGATACACACACATAACCACAGGTAATACACAAATGGCCACAGGTAATACGCACATGGCCACGTCGTGCGTAAAACTTACCTGAATTACAGTGCGAAGGATGACATAATCTGGTTATCGTGTCTCCAACCCCCTCCACCACCCCCACCCCTCCACCACCCACCCACTGTTTTACGACACACCCCCCCTCCCCCCAGTTCAAGGTTCGGCACACCCACACCACCACAATTCCTCAGCTGTGAATCGCTTGCTCCTGTCTCTCTGTACCGGTAGCTAGTTTCTACCCGGTCGACTGGTAGTAACTGGTTACGAGGGCGGAGCAGGAAAT